CTTCACTATTACAATTTTACCGTGTTTATTTACATATAGTCTGGTGTGCTTCTTTGAGCGACATGGCACCCTCACACTCCAACTCCCGCCCCGGAGAGCCTCGGCCTCTTTACAGGGCGCCTCGAAATATTATAAAAGCTTCAATTTGAGAAAATGTGTAGTGATTTACAGGCTCATACATCACATTAATTATTAAATATTAATGTTATGTTAATAAAGTAAAAAAAATAATGAAGATACATGAGTTTTATTTGTTTTTTATCTCTTACTTAGGAATAATCATACTTAAGGTAGGGCGCCATGGAAACATTTTAATTGAAAAAGGACTATGAAAAGTTTGGTAACCACTGCCCTAGACTGAGAGGTAAGGATTGGTGGTTTCGTAACTTGACCTACACACTTACAAGCTTACATTTCATTATACCAACCGTACTTGCCTACGGACTTACACAGTCTCGATCAGGGCTTTTTCTTCGGTCATTAAGCATTGATGACCAGAGCCTGACAGTAGCCTTTTTTGATCACTCTTATTTAGGACCGCTATTGCATATGGACGTTAACGCACACACGCACACATAGTCGAGCAAAAGTAGCAGTATAATTATGAAAGATAATTAGATAAACGATCCTACATCCATCTATGTCTATTTAATCGAAGTGATGAAGACCAAGATGGCGTGGCTTTTTGTGTGGTTGCAGTCTCCTTTCGTTGTATAGAAGTTGTTTAACCATAAGATTGCATAAGCTGATGGAGAACCAACAAGTACATCTTTCCACAATTCTATGGGTAGGTCTCAAGATGCCAGTGAATTTCACCCAGCCTTGCCTGCCGACGGGACTATAGTTTCGACATCGCCTCAACTGGTACCATCATCACCTCAAACGGGAATCGAACTCGACTGGTACAGCGTACAATTTCAACAGATTTCAGCAGAGGACTCATCTCCGCCGAAGCAGTGCACCCTTCGGTGAAGCCCCGCAGACAGTTCCCATCCAGGCTGGACAGCCTCTTTCAATCCTCCACCGATACGTTAGAGACAACCCTTTGCGTCTTCAACAGTCGCGATGCTCTGCTCCGTGGGCCTTTGGACGAGGAACGAACTTTAGCAACGCCAAGCCCACTTGATACAGTTGGCTACCTGAAGCTCGAGGACGTCCCGACCATACCGAAGTAAGGGTTAGGCTAGTAAGAGTTAATACTTTTAATTTAGGGTGCTAAAGGGAGACAGCACCGTCTCCGCCGACCGAGCCTTTTTGATCGACAGCTCCATTTAATCTGTCCGAATGTGCGCTCAGCCAAGCTAAGGAATGATCGTCTTATCTTGCTTAAACAAGCGATAGAACAACCACACGCCAAAACATTCCCACCTTTGGCCTCCACTTGTTGGGCGTGGATAAGGTCTTAGTAGTGGTACCAACTGCGCTGTCACGCCGTCTGTTGGCATCGTCAATTTGTCAGTTTCTGCAACAATCCGCTCTTATAAACTGAAGAACAACGAATCGCAAGCAGACAAGCGACCATTCATCACCATAAACGAAATAGGGTGAACACATATCATGTATCTACTGGTAGTCTCGAAAACTTACCTGTAAAAAAGAAAAAAAAGTAATGTGGTGGATTGCTATGGCGAACAGAACTTTGCTACATCTACAATCCCACCATAGAATGTGATATGGGAAAAGGCCTGGCCATCCATGAAAATCACATCTGCCCTGAGACCCAAGAGTATTCATGAAAGCCTGGTGTAGTGGTTAACGTGTCGAGATTATACGCTACATAACCAGAGTTCGAGACCCACTGGAGATTGCTGATAAGACCGGGCCAAGCGAGGTCGAAATGGCAGACGACTTCAGCCCACGGCTATGTGAAATTGAGTGGAAACGAAAAGTATACTCATGTAATTGTGGTAAAATTGAACTACCAGTTTTTCGTCACCTTCAACGAAATATGATGAACAGATCTCAAAAGTCAAGAGATTGTTTGCAGCTATCCCAGTCGATAGAAAGTTGCAAGGCCCATTCAGTAGATGATCCCCATCACAATGAAAGGTGTCAGAGACGCGATGAAGAAATCGTGAGCGATAAGGAATATATCGCGATTACCCGAAATGGTACTGATTTTACCTCGCTTTCGCATCGGCGAGACCTTGTGGAGCGTACAAAGTATTCATGCTGATCTCCAACATCGGATTGTTGACTTGGTGCATTCCCAGATATTTTGCCTGGTAGCAACGGAATTCTGTCGTGTTTGTCATAAGAACAGCCAACTTCATTCTTAGACCCTCCAAGGGTGCCCACATTCGGCCATATCACGAAGAATAACACCTCGAGAAGGTCGATCTTGGCGTCATCCAGCACCTCAAAGGGTTCAGACGGCACTCGGCCCCGACTGGGAGATAAGTTAATACTGAAATCCTTGCTAGCAACCTTTGCTCTCAACTTTGTAGACGGCCCATCTGAAATGTAGGCGTTTGGTGGCTGGACCGTCTTAAGGGGCTGTCCAAGTTGTGCTTCACCATACGCACTGTTTACTTCAGTCTGAAGATCAGTTTGTTGCTATCCTGTCGTCCTACCTGATTAGCTCGTTCGTCTAAGTTTACATGGTCCCGATTCACATAATATACTCGTTTGCTCAACTCATTCAAATTAGTTCGCACTCAAGAAACCATTTTATTTTTATTTATTTATTTATTTTTACCATTACTACTATTATTACTATTTATTACGAGTATTATCCTTTATTAATAATGGTTACTGTCACTATTCGCTATTTTATTATTTATTAACTCAATTAATTGTATCAACGGACGTTGCGTTCCACGGGAAAAGTTGGGATTTGTAAATTAGCAGCCTCAGAGACCGAATATCACGTTCGGGTAGTGTTGAACTTTGCTTCTGGCGTAGAACCTGCCGCTGCACCAGTCTCCGAGCCTAATCCCTCACTGTTAAACCCACATTTGTCCTGCGGTGACAAACATACGCAGAGTTAAAGGCCATTTCAAACGAATTCGCAAAAATCTCCCAACCGACTGCCATCATGCCCGCAGCCTGACTTTGAGGTCATACTCACGTACCAGATTACTTAAATGGCTAGTTCATACCTCTCTTCAGTTGCTCAAAGATAAATATTTGTTGGGATTACTTCCATTTCGAGTGGAAGTGTTGGGTGAAGAGATTCGAAGGTCGGTTCCACCAGAAGACGACGGT